CCTTCCTCTCTCAGTGGGTGCTACCTTCCTCCCTCAGTGGGTGCTACCTTCCTCTATCAGTGGGTGCTACCTTCCTCACTCAGTGGGTGTTCCTTCCTCTCTCAGTGGGTGCTACCTTCCTCTCTCAGTGGGTGCTACCTTCCTCCCTCAGTGGGTGCTACCTTCCTCTCTCAGTGGGTGCTACCTTCTTCATTCAGTGGGTGTTCCTTCCTCTCTCAGTGGGTGCTACCTTCCTCACTCAGTGGGTGTTCCTTCCTCTCTCAGTGGGTGCTACCTTCTTCATTCAGTGGGTGTTCCTTCCTCTCTCAGTGGGTGCTACCTTCCTCACTCAGTGGGTGTTCCTTCCTCTCTCAGTGGGTGCTACCTTCCTCTCTCAGTGGGTGCTACCTTCCTCCCTCAGTGGGTGCTACCTTCCTCTCTCAGTGGGTGCTACCTTCCTCTCTCAGTGGGTGCTACCTTCCTCCCTCAGTGGGTGCTACCTTCCTCTCTCAGTGGGTGTTCCTTTCTCTCTCAGTGGGTGCTACCTTCCTCTCTCAGTGGGTGCTACCTTCCTCTCTCAGTGGGTGCTACCTTCCTCTCTCAGTGGGTGCTACCTTCCTCTCTCAGTGGGTGCTACCTTCCTCTCTCAGTGGGTGCTACCTTCCTCTCTCAGTGGGTGCTACCTTCCTCTCTCAGTGGGTGCTACCGTCCTCACTCAGTGGGTGTTCCTTCCTCTCTCAGTGGGTGCTACCTTCCTCTCTCAGTGGGTGCTACCTTCCTCTCTCAGTGGGTGCTACCTTCCTCCCTCAGTGGGTGTTACCTTCCTCTCTCAGTGGGTGCTACCTTCCTCTCTCAGTGGGTGCTACCTTCCTCTCTCAGTGGGTGCTACCTTCCTCTCTCAGTGGGTGCTACCTTCCTCTCTCAGTGGGTGCTACCTTCCTCACTAAGAGGGTGTTCCTTCCTCTCTCAGTGGGTGCTACCTTCCTCTCTCAGTGGGTGCTACCTTCCTCTCTCAGTGGGTGCTACCTTCCTCCCTCAGTGGGTGTTACCTTCCTCTCTCAGTGGGTGCTAGCTTCCTCTCTCAGTGTGTGCTACCTTCCTCTCTCAGTGGGTGCTACCTTCCTCTCTCAGTGGGTGCTACCTTCCTCTCTCAGTGGGTGCTACCTTCCTCCCTCAGTGGGTGCTACCTTCCTCTCTCAGTGGGTGCTACCTTCCTCATTCAGTGGGTGTTCCTTCCTCTCTCAGTGGGTGCTACCTTCCTCACTCAGTGGGTGTTCCTTCATCTCTCAGTGGGTGCTACCTTCCTCACTCAGTGGGTGTTCCTTCCTCTCTCAGTGGGTGCTACCTTCCTCACTCAGTGGGTGTTCCTTCCTCTCTCAGTGGGTGCTACCTTCCTCACTCAGTGGGTGTTCCTTCCTCTCTCAGTGGGTGCTACCTTCCTCACTCAGTGGGTGCTACCTTCCTCTCTCAGTGGGTGCTACCTTCCTCTCTCAGTGGGTGCTACCTTCCTCTCTCAGTGGGTGCTACCTTCCTCCCTCAGTGGGTGCTACCTTCCTCTCTCAGTGGGTGCTACCTTCCTCTCTCAGTGGGTGCTACCTTCCTCCCTCAGTGGGTGCTACCTTCCTCTCTCAGTGGGTGTTCCTTTCTCTCTCAGTGGGTGCTACCTTCCTCTCTCAGTGGGTGCTACCTTCCTCTCTCAGTGGGTGCTACCTTCCTCCCTCAGTGGGTGCTACCTTCCTCTATCAGTGGGTGCTACCTTCCTCACTCAGTGGGTGTTCCTTCCTCTCTCAGTGGGTGCTACCTTCCTCTCTCAGTGGGTGCTACCTTCCTCCCTCAGTGGGTGCTACCTTCCTCTCTCAGTGGGTGCTACCTTCTTCATTCAGTGGGTGTTCCTTCCTCTCTCAGTGGGTGCTACCTTCCTCACTCAGTGGGTGTTCCTTCCTCTCTCAGTGGGTGCTACCTTCTTCATTCAGTGGGTGTTCCTTCCTCTCTCAGTGGGTGCTACCTTCCTCACTCAGTGGGTGTTCCTTCATCTCTCAGTGGGTGCTACCTTCCTCACTCAGTGGGTGTTCCTTCCTCTCTCAGTGGGTGCTACCTTCCTCTCTCAGTGGGTGCTACCTTCCTCTCTCAGTGGGTGTTCCTTCCTCCCTCAGTGGGTGCTACCTTCCTCTCTCAGTGGGTGCTACCTTCCTCCCTCAGTGGGTGCTACCTTCCTCCCTCAGTGGGTGCTACCTTCCTCTCTCAGTGGGTGCTACCTTCCTCCCTCAGTGGGTGCTACCTTCCTCTCTCAGTGGGTGCTACCTTCCTCCCTCAGTGGGTGCTACCTTCCTCCCTCAGTGGGTGCTACCTTCCTCCCTCAGTGGGTGCTACCTTCCTCTCTCAGTGGGTGCTACCTTCCTCTCTCAGTGGGTGCTACCTTCCTCACTCAGTGGGTGCTACCTTCCTCTCTCAGTGGGTGCTACCTTCCTCCCTCAGTGGGTGCTACTTTCCTCCCTCAGTGGGTGCTACCTTCCTCACTCAGTGGGTGTTCCTTCATCTCTCAGTGGGTGCTACCTTCCTCACTCAGTGGGTGTTCCTTCCTCTCTCAGTGGGTGCTACCTTCCTCTCTCAGCGGGTGCTACCTTCCTCTCTCAGTGGGTGCTACCTTCCTCCCTCAGTGGGTGTTACCTTCCTCTCTCAGTGGGTGCTACCTTCCTCTCTCAGTGGGTGCTACCTTCCTATCTCAGTGGGTGCTACCTTCCTCTCTCAGTGGGTGCTACCTTCCTCTCTCAGTGGGTGCTACCTTCCTCCCTCAGTGGGTGCTACCTTCCTCTCTCAGTGGGTGCTACCTTCCTCTCTCAGTGGGTGCTACCTTCCTCTCTCAGTGGGTGCTACCTTCCTCCCTCAGTGGGTGCTACCTTCCTCTCTCAGTGGGTGCTACCTTCCTCATTCAGTGGGTGTTCCTTCCTCTCTCAGTGGGTGCTACCTTCCTCACTCAGTGGGTGTTCCTTCATCTCTCAGTGGGTGCTACCTTCCTCACTCAGTGGGTGTTCCTTCCTCTCTCAGTGGGTGCTACCTTCCTCACTCAGTGGGTGTTCCTTCCTCTCTCAGTGGGTGCTACCTTCCTCCCTCAGTGGGTGCTACCTTCCTCCATCAGTGGGTGCTACCTTCCTCTCTCAGTGGGTGCTACCTTCCTCTCTCAGTGGGTGCTACCTTCCTCTCTCAGTGGGTGCTACCTTCCTCTCTCAGTGGGTGCTACCTTCCTCTCTCAGTGGGTGCTACCTTCCTCTCTCAGTGGGTGCTACCTTCCTCTCTCAGTGGGTGCTACCTTCCTCTCTCAGTGGGTGCTACCTTCCTCTCTCAGTGGGTGCTACCTTCCTCTCTCAGTGGGTGCTACCTTCCTCTCTCAGTGGGTGCTACCTTCCTCTCTCAGTGGGTGCTACCGTCCTCACTCAGTGGGTGTTCCTTCCTCTCTCAGTGGGTGCTACCTTCCTCTCTCAGTGGGTGCTACCTTCCTCTCTCAGTGGGTGCTACCTTCCTCCCTCAGTGGGTGTTACCTTCCTCTCTCAGTGGGTGCTACCTTCCTCTCTCAGTGGGTGCTACCTTCCTCTCTCAGTGGGTGCTACCTTCCTCTCTCAGTGGGTGCTACCTTCCTCTCTCAGTGGGTGCTACCTTCCTCACTCAGTGGGTGTTCCTTCCTCTCTCAGTGGGTGCTACCTTCCTCTCTCAGTGGGTGCTACCTTCCTCTCTCAGTGGGTGCTACCTTCCTCCCTCAGTGGGTGTTACCTTCCTCTCTCAGTGGGTGCTAGCTTCCTCTCTCAGTGGGTGCTACCTTCCTCTCTCAGTGGGTGCTACCTTCCTCTCTCAGTGGGTGCTACCTTCCTCTCTCAGTGGGTGCTACCTTCCTCCCTCAGTGGGTGCTACCTTCCTCTCTCAGTGGGTGCTACCTTCCTCATTCAGTGGGTGTTCCTTCCTCTCTCAGTGGGTGCTACCTTCCTCACTCAGTGGGTGTTCCTTCATCTCTCAGTGGGTGCTACCTTCCTCACTCAGTGGGTGTTCCTTCCTCTCTCAGTGGGTGCTACCTTCCTCACTCAGTGGGTGTTCCTTCCTCTCTCAGTGGGTGCTACCTTCCTCACTCAGTGGGTGTTCCTTCCTCTCTCAGTGGGTGCTACCTTCCTCACTCAGTGGGTGCTACCTTCCTCTCTCAGTGGGTGCTACCTTCCTCTCTCAGTGGGTGCTACCTTCCTCTCTCAGTGGGTGCTACCTTCCCCCCTCAGTGGGTGTTACCTTCCTCTCTCAGTGGGTGCTACCTTCCTCTCTCAGTGGGTGCTACCTTCCTCTCTCAGTGGGTGTTACCTTCCCCCCTCAGTGGGTGTTACCTTCCTCTCTCAGTGGGTGCTACCTTCCTCTCTCAGTGGGTGCTACCTTCCTCTCTCAGCGGGTGTTACCTTCCCCCCTCAGTGGGTGTTACCTTCCTCTCTCAGTGGGTGCTACCTTCCTCTCTCAGTGAGTGCTACCTTCCTCTCTCAGTGGGTGTTACCTTCCTCACTAAGTGGGTGCTACCTTCCTCTCTCAGTGGGTGCTACCTTCCTCTCTCAGTGGGTGCTACCTTCCTCTCTCAGTGGGTGCTACCTTCCTCTCTCAGTGGGTGCTACCTTCCTCTCTCAATGGGTGCTACCTTCCTCTCTCAGTGGGTGCTACCTTCCTCTCTCAGTGGCTGCTACCTTCCTCTCTCAGTGGGTGCTACCTTCCTCTCTCAGTGGGTACTACCTTCCTCACTCAGTGGGTGCTACCTTCCTCTCTCAGTGGGTGCTACCTTCCTCTCTCAGCGGGTGCTACCTTCCTCTCTCAGTGGGTGCTACCTTCCTCTCTCAGCGGGTACTACCTTCCTCTCTCAGTGGGTGCTACCTTCCTCTCTCAGCGGGTGCTACCTTCCTCTCTCAGTGGGTGCTACCTTCCTCTCTCAGCAGGTACTACCTTCCTCTCTCAGTGGGTGCTACCTTCCTCCCTCAGTGGGTGCTAACAGCAATATGATCACACAGGTGTTGAGTCAGCGGAGGTGGCTCTCAGCACCAAGTTCTTCGATGACAACCCCACACTGAGCATCCTCCACTTCTCCATCACCGCCACGGGCAGCGACGGCACTCAAGGTACGTGGCTGACCACCCCCATCACCGCCACGGGCAGCGACGGCACTCAAGGTACGTGGCTGACCACCCCATCACCGCGACGGGCAGCGACATGGAGGGAGCTCCTGGTCGTGATAAGACTGCAAGTTGTGTGAATACGAATAATTGAATGAATATATATATATATATATATATATATATATATATATATATATATATATATATATATATATATATATATATATATATATATATATATATATATATATATATATATATATATATATATATATATATATATACACACACATATATATATATATAACCCGTTCTCGCACTTTCGTATGGTCAATATTGACTTATTAAATACGTGCATATGTGAAATACTAAACATAATAGTTTACATTGAAAAGCTTCATAGAAAACACTGATCTTACCTAACCTTCTTAGTATGGTAAGATAAGCATCTTATTGCTTCGTAATTACAATTATTACTTAACCTATTATAGGTATAGGTTAAGTAATAATTGTAATTACGAAGCAATAAGATGCTTATCTTAACATACTAAAAAGGTTAGGTAAGGTCGGTGAAGCTTTTCATAGCTTGAAGCTATGAAGCTTTTCAAGGTAAACTAGTATGTTTAGTATGTCACATATGCACGTATTTAATAAGTCAATATTGACTGTAAGAAAGTGCGAGAACGGGTCCCCATTAACTAGGTTTTGGTGTCCTCATTGGCTGTGAAGCAGCATCTCATGCAGCGCGAGCGTATATTAAGCACCTCATAGAAAATAAGGCATTAATTAAATTAGACTTTAAATACGCCTTCAAACAGGTAAAAAGGGATGTGATACTGGAAGCAGTTCGAACAAGCTTTCCTTCTCTACTTCCCTTCGTCTCAGCAGGGTACAGTAGGGAATCGACACTGTTGTTTGGGGAACATGAAGTTGTTTCTGCAGGTGTCCAGCAGGGAGACCCACTTGCCCCTTTCCTTTTCTGCATAGCAGCTAAAGAGGTCACAAGCAGGTTGTCCAGCGAATTCAACATCTGGTTCCTGGACGATGGCACCCTGGCAGGGACACAGGAATTCCTGCTAGGAGATCTTCAGTTAGTGAAATCGAAGGGAGAGGAACTTGGCCTTACACTAAACCCATCAAAGTGTGAAATCATCTCATCCAGCCAACCAATCATAGATGCAGTACGAACCTTATTGCCAGGAGCCCCAGTGATCGCTCCCACCGACAGTGTGCTGCTAGGGGCACCTCTGGGCTCGAACGCCATTGAGGTAGTCCTCGAAGAAAAGCTGAAAGACCTGAGGAGGATGGAGGAAAGAATAGGGGCTTTGGACGCTCACGATGCTTTGTACCTTCTTACAAGGTGCCTGGCCATGCCCAGACTTACCTATTTCCTCTGGTGTGCTCCTTTCTTTGACAGCCCAAAATTAACGGAATACGACTCACTCCTAAAGTCAGTAACTATGAAAGTGTTAAACCTTTCCCTGCAAGATGACCAGTGGGACCAAGCAACGCTCCCAGTTAGACTCGGGGGTATAGGTATTCGCAAGGCAACGCATTTAGCATTGCCGGCATTCTTATCCTCGACCAGTGCTACAAGTGAATTAGTGAATGAAATACTACCGGAATACCTAAGGAACTTCACTGGGATTCGTGATCCCAAATTTGTGGAAGGAGCTGGTCAGTGGGACACTCTTGCTAATTCACACACTCGACCAACTTTTCCAAACGACGGCAAACAGGCCAAATGGGATAGCCCCATAGTGGAAAACATCGCCAAAGCATTGCTGGAGGCAGCTTCGGAGAAGGACAGAGCGCGTCTCCTAGCTGTGCAAGCCCCCTATGCCGGGGACGTTCTGTTGGCAGTCCCTAATTCCTCCTTGGGTACCCGCCTGGACCATCGGGCCCTAAGTATTGGTGTTGCTCTGCGCCTTGCCGCCCCTATCTCCACCTAACACCGGTGTATTTGCGGCCATGCACGGGCAGACCAATACGGCAGCCATGGTCTCATCTGTCGTAAGACACAGGGAAAGATTGCCAGACATGAAGCAGTCAATGACATCATCAAGAGAAGTTTGGCTACAGCTGGGTGTCCAGCACAAAGGGAACCTCAGTTGTGCAGACCTGATAACAGCCAAAAACGCCCAGATGGAGTCACCCTGCAGCCATGGAGGGAAGGTAAACAGGTCGTATGGGATTACACATGTGCTTCCACATTGGCTGATACCTATCTACGTTACAGCTCAGCGGAGGGAGGTGGGGCAGCCACCTTCAGGGAGACCCAGAAAATCAACAAGTACAGAGACTTAGAACGTTGTTACAGGTTCGTGCCGATAGGCTCTGAGACTCTGGGCGCCTGGGGTAAATGTGCACTTAAGTTCCTAAAGGAGGTGGGTGAGGAACTCATTGGGAAAACTAGAGACCCACGAGCGGCCAGTTTCCTGTTCCAGCGCCTCAGTGTCGCAGTTCAGAGGGGAAATGCGTGCTGTATCCTGGGTACGCACCCAACCTCCGAGGAGCTGGACGAGGTCTTCGAACGCTGATTGTTATATTGTTATATATATGTGTGTTCTCTGTAAACTGTAGCATTGCAATAAAATAAAATAAAATAAAACAAAACAAAACACACACAAAATAATAATAGGGGTGGTAGGTGAAGAAAAGATTAAAGTGTTCAGTGAGAATCCACAAGATCTTCTCTGAAAGCTCTTTGTTTTCTTCTTCGAGAATGTGAGTCCCTCAGAATTGCACCAGAGGTATACCCCTATATATATATATATATATATATATATATATATATATATATATATATATATATATATATATATATATATATGTAATCTTGGGCATAGCATTTTATCAAATCACCTCATTCTTTGGGGCACACGTGAGGAACACAAATGTGTTCCTCACGTGTGCCCCAAAGAATGAGGTGATTTGATAAAATGCTATGCCCAAGATTACCATCCGAGTGCCGGCGGGGAAGTGGTTCATATAGCCTCGGCTATCACTTCCTTATGTCCGGTCGTGATGGTCAAGCGGATTAAGGCGTCCCTGTACATACCAGTTGTGGGAGTATGGGTTCGAGTCACTTCTGGGGTGGGAGTTTTCAGTTATATATATATATATATATATATATATATATATATATATATATATATATATATATATATATATATATATATATATATATATATATATATATATATATATATATATATATATATATATATATATATATATATATATGTGTGTGTGTGTGTGTGTGTATGTATGTATGTAAGTATATCACGAAAATAAACACGTGATTTAAAATGTGACAATGTCAGACCACGGAGGAAAAATGAAACAGGAATTTCTTTAAGTACTTTCGTATATTAATACATCTTCAGAAGGAGTGATTTTTCAGATCGAGTACTGGACATAAATAGGCAGGAGAGAATGGTGTAGTGAGGTTAGGTACAATATGTGGACACTGCAGACGGCCTATTGGCCCAACTGATGCAGCCCATAGGCCCATCAGATGCAGCAACCACACACAGGCCAACACATAGATAATTATAGCATAAAATAGTAAATATATACAATGAATTAGTGAGACAAATGTGTTAAAATGATCCTACTTAAATCGCCCTTTAATTGATCTATTAAAAATGGATCTAAGTTATATAGACCACTGCTAATGTTCAAATTACTTTCTTTTGTGATCTGTATCAAAGCAGATTCAATTATGTTTCTGTTATAGGTGCTTTTACAATTCGTTATTGAAGAAGCCATCTCCCAATCAATTTGGTGAGGATCTTCTGACAGATGAACAAACAAAGCATTAGACAATTGGCCATGTCTTACAGAGTATTTATGTTGCGAAATTCTACATTTCAAATGTTTAGATGCTTGCCCAACATAGAACTTATTACAGTCTTTACAAGGTATAAAGGCTCAGCAACCTTTCCTGCCCCCCTGTTCTCCCCACAATCCCCCCCCCCCCTCACCCGTCTCCTCGGCCTCCCAACCATTCCCCACTCCACCGTCCCCTCTTCCTTCCCACCATGCCCCACTCCCCTGTCCCTTTGTTCTCCCCACCATTCTCCATTCCCCCATCCCCTCGTCCCCACCATCCCAAACTCCCCCGTCCCCTCGTCCTTCCCCACCATTACCCCCTCCCTTGTCCCCTAGTCCTCACCACCATCTCTCACTTCCATCCCCTCGTCATCCCACCTCCCTAGTCCGATGCCTTCCCAAATGGTCTGATGTTCCCATCAGAAAATTGGGAACATCAATTGATATAATGTTCCCATCACTGAAATATAAGAAAAACAGTTAAAAAATGAAATGAAAATATGAAAAACAAATAAACTATACCCACGAAATGAACGATATGGTAAACAACACAGCTCAATTCCAATGCAATTCACACAAAATAATTAAATCAAAATTAAAATAAATCAAAATTAATGAAAATTCATTTTATCAATGCAATGAGAAACATTGAAATGGAATTGTAACATATCTAGCATGTACAGTTCTAGTGTAGCATGTGTGTTGCTCTTACATGCAACAGATGGCACTGTTTTTCAAGAACAGCATAGTTTTACCTGTCACAAGTTTGGTATCTATACTTATACTTACGAAATGAACGGTATGGTAAACAACACAGCTCAATTCCAACACAATGTCACACAAAATAATTCACTGAAAAAATAAAATAAATCGAAATCTATGAAAATGAAATTTATCAATGCAATCAGAAACATTGAAATGGAATTCGTGACATATTTAGTATGGCGTGCATGTTGCCATTATGTACAACAGATGGCCCTGTTTTTCAAAAACGCATGTTTTTACCTGTCACAGGGGTGGCATCTATATAGTAGGTATACAAAAAGACGCGTCTATTCGGATGCAACGTTGTGTCAAAATTTCAAAGCAATCGGTAAAGAGGTTTCGAAGATTTCCCTCACATGAAAAACACATGAAAAAACAGTTTTTTAGAAAAAGCATGTTTTTACCGTCACAGATGTGACATCTATATAGTATGTATATAAAAACCTGCCTGGATGTGAATGGAACATTGTTTGTAAATTTCAAAGCAATCGGTGAAGATCTTTCGGAGATTAGCGGTTTTGAACAAACGAACATTTCCAATTTTTTTATATAGAAGATATATATTAAATTGACGATCACGAAGCACTGATCACTTGTATGCGTGTATACAAATACAATTAATTTGAATTTGTATCCTTGTTTATACAATGTTTGTGGTGCCAGATGTTTGTGGAATCTGTCACACAAACATCTGGCACCTGGCATCTGTCTTCCTGTGTGCCAAATGTGTGTGGTGTGGTAGTGGGGTGTCAGTCAGATGTGTGGTGTAGTAGCGTTGTTTCAGACAGCCAGATGTGTGTGGTAGCAGTGTGTCAGGCAGCCAGATGTGTATGGTGTGTTAGCGTTGTGTCAGGTAGCCAGATGTGTATGGTGTGGTAGCGTTGTGTCAGGCAATATTAACCCACTTATGTACTTATTCTCTGACTGTTTAGGGCTGGTGGCGTACTTCATGAAGGTAAACAAGAGACCTGTCAACGGGTACTGTAATGTGACAGTCCCTCCCACCAGGCTGGCTCTTGTTGACCAGTTCACCCTCACATGTGACTCCTGGCAGGACCCCGAGGGAATAGGCATCACTAATTACATCGTTACCAGTAAGTTGTGTTAATTCACCATTTAAAAATATTTTTTTTGTAGAGTTAGCACAAGATTGCTAATCTTAAGATTAAGAAGTGTCCTTGTTTTGAAATTTAAGTACTCACCTTCTAGTGCTTGCCGGGGTTGAGCTCTTGCTCTTTGGTCCCGCCTATCAAATGTCAATCAGCTGATGTACAGATTCTTGAGCCTATCTTGAGGTTATCTTGAGATGATTTCGGGGCTTTTTAGTGTCCCCGCGGCCCGGTCCTCGACCAGGCCTCCACCCCCAGGAAGCAGCCCGTGACAGCTGACTAACACCCAGGTACCTATTTTACTGCTAGGTAACAGGGGCATAGGGTGAAAGAAACTCTGCCCATTGTTTCTCGCCGGCGCCTGGGATCGAACCCAGGACCACAGGATCACAAATCCAGCGTGCTGTCCGCTCGGCCGACCGGCTCCCCAGCCTACTGGGCAATACTAGGCTTAGATCTTCAAATCTTTAATTGAAACTGTGTATGGAGTCTTTCTCCACCACATCACTGCCTAATGCATTCTGTCTTAACTTGAACAGGGAATAACAGAATCCCTGTTCAACGGAAATTCCTCCCTTAACAGAACAGGGAATAATGAAGCAGAAGATTTTCTAGAATTAATAGACGATTGCTTCCTTAAGCAATAGATTAAGGAATCAACGTGTGAAAATAATATTTTAAACTTAATGTTAAATAGCAGGGAGACACAAATTATGAAGTCGCAATAGGGAGTGAGCTAGGGAACATTGATCACAAAGAAATCAGATTTAGCATAGAATAGAATAGATTTGTAGAAGAATATTTTGTTACAGTGCCTGGTTTCAGAAAGGCTGATTTTAATAGCCTAAAAAAATTTTGGGTGAAAAAGATTGGAAAATCCTGGGCATGGGGGGTGGGCCGGTCATGGAGCGAGACGTGAACCCAGCGATGGGTGATATAAAAAGGAATTTCGATGTGGATTCAAAATATAACTCATTTAAAAATTTTCTAAGCAAAGCATAGGAACGTAGTATACCTTACAAATTGATTAGATCGAATAACAATGACCCGAAATGGATAACAAAGGCTCTGAAGAACCATATAGGTAGAAACAGAGCTTTGTACAAATGGATTAGGAAAGGGGAAGTCATTTTAGAACAAGAATTCGTCCAACTGGTTAGAAATTTTAAAAAGGAGATAAGGAGGGCAAAAAGAAACTTTGAAGTTTGCATAGTAGCGCAGGCAAAGACAAATCCTAATTTTTTTTTCAGTTATATCGAACAAAGATTAGGTAAAGGATAGGTCCATTAAAACCTGAGGCAGGTCAGATAACTGATAATGACGAACTGATGAGTATTATTTTTAATAAATATTTTATCTCTGTATTTACATAAGAGGAACTTAACATTATACCTTCAGCCGAAAAAGCCTATGTGGATGAAGAAGAGGAGAGGTTGGCTAGTTTAATAGTTACCAGGGTAATAGTGTCTTTAAAAAAAAAGTGAAACTCAAGCCAAACAATTCCCCAGGGCCGGATGAAGTGTTTGCCAGGGTGCTTAAAGAATGCAACGAGGAGCTTTTCGAGCCATTGTCATAAATCATTAGTCAGGCAGAGTGCCAGAGTCTTGGAAGGTTGCTAATGTGGTGCCAATTTTCAAGAAAGGAGATAGATCACTTGCGTCAAACTATCGGCCAATTAGCTTAACGTCTATTGGGGGAAAGTTACTTGAATCGATAATTGCAAAATACCATTCGTCTTCATCATTAAAAACATAAATTAATAAATGATTCACAACATGGTTTTACAACCGTTCATGTTTAACAAATTTGATATAATTTTCTTCCAGCATAGTTGAGGCAGTTGACAGTGGTAAGGTTTGTGATGTAATGTACCTTGACTTTAGCAAAGATTTTGATTCAGTGCCACATGAACTCAATCTTTCATGTGGCTCTCTATCTAGTCGTGTCAACGCGGCATTCGGCCACGACGGGACCCGCCTTACCACACCAGAAGCAGGTACGCAGCTGGGCCTGACTCGCATGGAGTAACCGGGGAACCGAACCTGGTAGGAAAGGTAGTGGACAGTCTCAAACCAAGACACCAAGACTGAGCCCCTTCAGCCGCTCAGAACGTAAACAGTTGACACGATGCGACACACCCTTACCCTACCAGGCAAAACTGGTACACAGCGCCTGCTCAGGGAAGTCTAGTGGCACACCATGCACACTCACAAACGTCAACGGGCCCCACGGATCCGAGACTGTCATTGACACTGCGGAATCAGGAAGCGGAAACGACCTGCCAACACAGTGGCGTACAAAATCCATGAACACAGATGACGTGGCAAACTACATCGCCCCACGTTTAGGCGATAATTTCTCTAGGCCCTGAAGATCGACGACATCCACCTTCAAAACGTCCAGGAGCGCAATCTCCACCACAGCCCAATCCACAGGTGCAGTGAAGTCAAGCCCCACAGTATCGATGCAGCGGATCGGGGCATTAAGCGCTGCCAACCCGCTAGCCGTCGCACACCGGCCAGGTGGCGCACACCGGCCAGGTGGCGCACACAGGCCAGCTGGCGCACACCGGCCAGCTGGCGCATACCGGCCAGCTGGCGCACACCGGCCAGGTGGCGCACACCGGCCAGGTGGCGCATACCGGCCAGCTGGCGCACACCGGCCAGGTGGCGCACACCGGCCAGGTGGCGCACACCGGCCAGGTGGCGCATACCGGCCAGGTGGCGCACACCGGCCAGGTGGCGCACACCGGCCAGGTGGCGCACACCGGCCAGCTGGCGCACACCGGCCAGGTGGCGCACACCGGCCAGCTGGCGCACACCGGCCAGCTGGCGCACACCGGCCAGGTGGCACACACCGGCCAGGTGGCGCACACCGGCCAGGTGGCACACACCGGCCAGGTGGCGCACACCGGCCAGGTGGCACACACCGGGCAAGGTGGCGCACACCGGCCAGGTGGCACACACCGGGCAAGGTGGCGCACACCGGCCAGGTGGCACACACCGGGCAAGGTGGCGCACACCGGCCAGGTGGCACACACCGGGCAAGGTGGCGCACACCGGCCAGGTGGCACACCACACCACCAACAGCGACCCTCCCTCACGCAGTGCCAAGCTGAGGAGGCCAATCGCGACGACTGCCCCGTCCAGTGACTGGGCAGCACACATGGCGTAGTGGTAACACACTCGCCAGTCGTTTCGCGAGCACTCTGGCATGGGTTCGTGTCCAGGCCGGGGAGAATTTACTGGGCATCACTCCTTAACTGTAGCCTCTGTTTACCCAACAGTAAAATGAATACCTGGTTCTAAAATGATTTGGCGGAACGTATTCCAGGGAAAATTAGGATTAAGGACTTGCCCTAAACGCTACGCGTGTTAGTGGATGTACAAGAATGTAAGAACACTTATATAAAAAAAAAGTTATCTTATGGAAGCTTTGTTTTATAGCAATGTCTCAATAAATGTTTGCTTTGCTGTAACGTTCTCTAACAAAGTTTCGTGTTGCAATATCGTTCATTAGGAAGATTTGTGTTAAGGTAATATTTATCAATGAAAGTTTGTGTTGCACTACAGTTGTGAAGGAAAGGTTTGTGTTGCAGTAGTGGGTGTTGACGGCGCCATAACTACCCTGCTGAACATGAGGCACGGGGGAACTCCTCCCCAGGTGGAACCTCTGGTGCTCCCTCCGGGGACCTTCACTATCATGGTCCAAATATTCGACGAGTGGGGAGCCTTCACCTACGTCAATACTGGCACTATTGAGGTAAGCTGGCGAACCTTTATCTACGTCAAGGCTACTGCCACTATATGACATCTAAAACAACCACACACCAGTATGGCACCCACCACTACAATAACAGTATGGCACCCACCACCACAATAACAGTTTGGCACCCACCACCACAATAACAGAATGTCACCCCCACCACAACAACAGTACGGCACCCACCACCACAACAACAGTATGACACCCACCATTACTACAACAGTATGGCACCCACCCCACAAAAGTATGGCACCCACCACCACTACAACAGTATGGCACCAACCCCCACAACAGTATGGCACCCACCACCACTACAACATTATGGCACCCACCACAACAACAGTATGGCACCCATCACCACTACAACATTATGGCACCCACCCCCACAACAGTATGGCACCCAACACCACCGCAACAGTATGGCACCCACCAACACAACAGTACGGCACCCACCACCACCACAACATTACAGCACCCACCACCACCACAACACTATGGCACCCACCACCACAACAGTACGGCACCCACCACCACCACAACAGTACGGCACCCACCACAACAACAGTACGGCACCCACCACCACTCAACAGTACGGCACCCACCACCACCACAACAGTACGGCACCCAACACCACCTCAACAGTACGGCACCCACCACCACCACAACAGTACGGCACCCAACACTACCACAACAGTATGGCACCCACCATCCCCACAACAGTATGGCACCCCAACACTACCACAACAGTATGGCACCCACCACCACCACAACAGTACGGCACCCACCACCACCACAACAGTATGGCACCCACCACCACAACAACAGTACGGCACCCACCACCACAACAGTATGGCACCCACCACCACAACAGTATGGTAAGAACCACCACAACAGTATGGCACCCACCACCACCACAACAGTACGGCACCCACCACCACCACAACAGTACGGCACCCACCACCACCACAACAGTATGGCACCCCAACACTACCACAACAGTATGGCACCCACCATTCCCACAACAGTATGGCACCCGAACACTACCACAACAGTATGGCACCCACCACCACCTCAACAGTACGGCACCCACCACCACCACAACAGTACGGCACCCACCACCACCACAACAGTATGGCACCCCAACACTACCACAACAGTATGGCACCCACCATCCCCACAACAGTATGGCACCAACTACCACACAACAGTATGGCACCCACCACTACCACAACAGTATGGCACCCACCACCAACACAACAGTATGGCACCCACCACTTCACAACAGTATGGCGCCCACCACCACACAACAGTATGGCACCCACCACCACCACAACAATATGGCACCCACCACCACCACAACAGTATGGCACCCACCCCCACCACAACAGTATGGCACCCACCACCACCTCAACAGTATGGCACCCACCACCACCACAACAGTATGGGACCCACCCCCACCACAACAGTATGGCACCCACCACCACCTCAACAGTATGGCACCCACCACCACCACAACAGTATGGCACCCACCACCACCTAAACAGTATGGCACCCACCACCACTACGACAGTATGGCACCCACCACCACAACAGTGTAGCACCCACCACCACCACAACAGTATGGCACCCACTACCACCTCAACAGTATGGCACCCACCACCACCACAAGAGTATGGCACCCACCACCACAACAACAGTACGGCACCCACCACCACAACAGTATGGCACCCACCACCACCACAACAGTATGGCACCCACCACCACAACAGTATGGCACCCACCACCACCACAACAGTATGGCACCCACTACCACCTCAACAGTATGGCACCCACCACCACCACAAGAGTATGGCACCCACCACCACAACAACAGTACGGCACCCACCACCACAACAGTATGGCACCCACCACCACCACAACAGTATGGCGCCCACCACCACACAACAGTATGGCACCCACCACCACCACAACAGTATGGCACCCCACCACCACAACAACAGTACGGCACCCACCACCACCTCAACAGTACGGCACCCACCACCACTACGACAGTATGGCACCCACCATCACAACATTGTAGCACCCATCACCACCACAACAGTATGGCACCCACCACCACCTCAACAGTATGGCACCCACCACCACAACAGTATGGCACCCACCACCACCTCAACAGTATGGCACCCACCACCACCACAACAGTATGGCACCCACCACCACCCACAACAGTATGGCACCCAACACCACCACAACAGTATGGCACCCACCACCACAACAGTATGGCACCCACCACCACCACAACAGTACGGCATCCACCACCACAACAGTACGGCACCCACCACCACCACAACAGTATGGCACCCAACACCACCACAACAGTACGGCACCCACCACCACCACAACAGTATGGCACCCACCACCACCACAACAGTATGGCACCCACCACCACCTCAACAGTATGACACCCACTACCACCACAACAGTATGGCACCCACCACCACAACAGTGTAGCACCCACCACCACCACAACAGTACGGCACCCACCACCACAACAGTATGTCACCCACCACCACCACAACAGTATGGCACCCACCACCACCACAACAGTATGGCACCCACCACCACCACAACAGTACGGCACCCACCACCACCACAACAGTATGGCACCCACCACCACCACAACAGTATGGCACCCACCACCACAACAACAGTACGGCACCCACCACCACTCAACAGTATGGCACCCTCCACCACCACAACAGTATGGCATCCACCACCACAACATTATGGCACCCACCACCACCACAACAGTACGGCACCCACCACCACCACAACAGTATGGCACCCACCACCACCACAACAGTATGGCTCCCACCACCACAACAACAGTACGGCACCCACCACCACTCAACAGTATGGCACCCACCACCACCACAACAGTATGGCACCCACCACCACAACAACAGTACGGCACCCACCACCACTCAACAGTATGGCACCCACCACCACCACAACAGTATGGCACCCACCACCACCTCAACAGTACGGCACCCACCACCACCACAACAGTATGGCACCCACCACCACCACAACAGTATGGCACCCACCACCACAACATTATGGCACCCACCGGCTCGTGTGGGTGTAGTGTTACTTTGGATATGGCAAATGTCTGGTGACAATATACAAGTATCTGGTACCAACATACAACATACTGGTTTGTGGTACCAACATACAACATACTAGTGAGTGGTAACAACACACAACATACCAGTGTGTGGTACCAACATACAACATACTGGTGTGTGGTAACAACATACTGGTGTGTGGTAACAACATATTGGTGTGTAGTAACAACATACTGGTGTGTGGTAACAACATACAACATATTAGTGTGTGGTAACAACATACAACATACTAGTGTGTGGTAACAACATACAACATACTGGTGTGTGATAACAACATACAACATACTAGTGTGTGGTAACAACATACAACATACTAGTGTGTGGTAACAACATACAACATACTGGTGTGTGGTAACAACATACAACATACTGGTGTGTGGTAACAACATACAACATACTAGTGTGTGGTAACAACATACAACATACTAGTGTGTGGTAACAACATACAACATACTAGTGTGTGGTAACAACATACAACATACTGGTGTGTGGTAACAACATACAACATACTAGTGTGTCGTAACAACATACTAGTGTGTGGTAACAACATACAACATACTAGTGTGTGGTAACAACATACAACATACTAGTGTGTGGTAACAACATACAACATACTGGTGTGTGGTAACAACATACAACATACTAGTGTGTCGTAACAACATACTAGTGTGTGGTAACAACATACAACATACTAGTGTGTGGTAACAACACACAACATACCAGTGTGTGGTACCAACATACAACATACTGGTGTGTGGTAACAACATACTAGTGTGTGGTAACAACATACAACATACTAGTGTGTGGTACCAACATACAACATACTGGTGTGTGGTAACAACATACTAGTGTGTGGTAACAACATACTAGTGTGTGGTAACAACACACAACATACCAGTGTGTGGTAACAACATACAACATATTAGTGTGTGGTAACAACATACAACATACTAGTGTGTGGTAACAACATACAACATACTGGTGTGTGGTAACAACATACAACATACTAGTGTGTGGTAACAACATACAACATACTGGTGTGTGGTAACAACATACAACATACTAGTGTGTGGTAACAACATACAACATATTGGTGTGTGGTAACAACATACAACATACTGGTGTGTGGTAACAACATACAACATACTAGTGTGTGGTAACAACATACAACATACTGGTGTGTGGTAACAACATACAACATACTAGTGTGTGGTAACAACATACAACATACTGGTGTGTGGTAACAACATACAACATACTAGTGTGTGGTAACAACATACAACATACTAGTGTGTGGTAACAACATACAACATACTAGTGTGTGGTAACAACATACTAGTGTGTGGTAACAACATACTGGTGTGTGGTAACAACATACAACATACTAGTGTGTGGTAACAACATACTAGTGTGTGGTAACAACATACTAGTGTGTGGTAACAACATACAACATACTAGTGTGTGGTAACAACATACAACATACTGGTGTGTGGTAACAACATACAACATACTAGTGTGTGGTAACAACATACAACATACTGGTGTGTGGTAACAACATACAACATACTAGTGTGTGGTAACAACATACAACATACTAGTGTGTGGTAACAACATACAACATACTAGTGTGAGGTAACAACATACTAGTGTGTGGTAACAACATACTGGTGTGAGGTAACAACATACAACATACTAGTGTGTGGTAACAACATACAACATACTAGTGTGAGGTAACAACATACAACATACTAGTGTGAGGTAACAACATACAACATACTAGTGTGTGGTAACAACATACAACATACTAGTGTGTGGTAACAACATACAACATACTAGTGTGTGGTAACAACATACAACATACTAGTGTGTGTAACAACATACAACATACTAGTGTGAGGTAACAACATACTAGTGTGTGGTAACAACATACTGGTGTGAGGTAACAACATACAACATACTAGTGTGTGGTAACAACATACAACATACTAGTGTGTGGTAACAACATACAACATACTAGTGTGTGGTAACAACATACAACATACTAGTGTGAGGTAACAACATACTAGTGTGTGGTAACAACATACTGGTGTGAGGTAACAACATACAACATACTAGTGTGTGGTAACAACATACAACATACTAGTGTGTGGTAACAACATACAACATACTAGTGTGTGGTAACAACACACAACATACTAGTGTGAGGTAACAACATACAACATACTAGTGTGTGGTAACAACATACAACATGAGGGTTGTGATGACAAGTGTGAGGTAACAACATACAACATACTAGTGTGTGGTAACAACATACAACATACTAGTGTGTGGTAACAACATACAACATACTAGTGTGTGGTAACAACATACAACATGAGGGTTGTGATGACAAGTGTGGTCCTTCACCAGGTGCTGATGCCCTCCAAAGCTGCGCTTGACGCCGCCAACATCCCGGGTCTGATAGCCATGCTGAAGGGCTCCGGGGACACCCAGCTGCTCAATATGGTGCTACTCGCCCAGTCCCGAGTGGCGGACCAGGTGATATATCTGTCTGTCTGTCTGTCTGTCTGTCTGTCTGTCTGTCTGTCTGTCTGTCTGTCTGTCTGTCTGTCTGTCTGTCTGTCTGTCTGTCTGTCTTTCTGTCTTTCTCTCTCTCTCTCTCTC